TTTTGCTTCTTATTTATGTTGTTAAACTTCTTTTTTTGTTGGCATCATCCTGCCTATATGAATTTCTGCTAATCTCCTAGTAGGTTGCAGGTATGGCAACTAGTGTAGAACATTCGGGCAGACTACTTAAATAGACAATCAAAAGTTGTACATGTGGCTAGTTGTACACTCGTTAATGTGCCAAAAAATATCTCAATATAGACATACAAAAAAACACAATAAAGCATTAAGCAATCATGACATTGGTCTTTAACAATTAAAAAAAAAAAAAAAATTATTATTATTATTATTATTATTAAAATATTTCTTGTTGGCTAAAAAAAACATCAGCAACAAAAAAATTTAAATATAAAAATTATCTTTTTAGATATATATCACCAGAAACAATAAGGTATTAGATTTGGATTATAGAATAAATGACACTTGTTTTAATCAATATACTATGATATCTGTTTTTACTGAATGTTCAACAATATATTTGCACCTAAAGCAACTGATAACAAATTATTAATATATATACTGTATTAAATGTTTTTTAATATTTATATTTGAGTTTTTATCATTAATACTTTAGCAAAGGTTTGAAATAAGTTATAATCTGTATAAAATTAAAATAATTTTATAATTTTAAATTAAACAATTCAAGTGAAATTAATTATATTATACAGATGATATTTGCTAATTTAGAACTAATTTGTTTAATAGCAGTATTTTTCACTATTGAAAGTTCGATTTAAATTCGAACATCAGGAAATTTTATATAGTTGATTAAAAATAACTAATCTTTTCAAATTAATTAGTTCAATCAATTATAATCAGAAGTAGTGTTATAATTGTGGCAGCTGATGCTGAGATTTTAAATATTTTAATATTAAATTTTAAAATTTTTTGGGGCCTTTTGTTAGGGTTTTTTTTTTAGGGTTAGGTTAGGGTTTAGGGGTAGTTTTATTAATAAAAAAGTATAAATGAATTTTAGTAGGTATTGTAGATTTAAATAGAGGTCCCCAATTTCAGCATCAGCCAATTTCAGCATCAGCTGCCACAATAATTGATTTATTGGGTTTGCAAAATTATGTGAAACAGATAAAAAAAAATGATTATTTCTGATTTCTGGTTTTTTTAATATTACTTTTGATAACATATGTATATCAACTAATAATCTAAAAACTTATACATACACATATATATATATTGTATATTTTATTTAATATATATTCTTTTTTTAAAAAATAAATCTTTATAATGTTAAAATTATTATTCTGAAACATGCTTTGAAGCACAAATGTGAAAATATTTCTACAAAAGTTTTACTAAAGTTTCTTATGCTTTTACTTTAAAATTTCAAGATACTTCTAGTAATAAATTTTTTAGAATCATGTAATAATGCTTATAAGATTGAATTTGGTATTACTTTTAAATTTTTATCTTGCTTATTATGCAAAATGATGAATGTGCAAATTATATTTCTAAAAGATACTAAATCAAATATGTTACCAAATAATGAAAAAATATTTAAGAAATCAGAAATCAGAAATATGAAATTTTTATAATTTTTTGAAAACCCAAGATTTCTGATTTTACATAATTATAATTATTTATAATTTGTTTAAAAAATTTCCTGATAAAAAAAATCAGATTCATATCATAGAAAATTTAGTAATCCAAATTGTTAATCAAAAATACAACTAGTTGACAATATTCTAATTATAGCAGTTTGCAAAAAGATATGACTCTGTGATTTTATGATAATAATAGCGAAAAAATTTTTGAGATTTTATATATAGGCAAAAATCTCCAATTTCATGATGATTTAATATGAGTGATTTGGTTAAATAAAATTTGAGCTAATCATTTATGTAATATGGCATAATTATTGAGAATAAAATTGATTTTTTGATCAGAGATTGTAAGCCCAATAATAAATTGCTTATGAATCACTTATGAATTTTACTTATAAATTTGTAATTGTTTGTAACCTGATGCTTATAAATTTTGTATGTATGTACTTAATTGTGATCTAATTGTGATCTAATTGTAATCTAATTGTGATTTAATTACTTATAAATCTAATAATCACTGTGTTTTAACTAGAGATTTTTGCCTATATGATTCACTATTGTTCATAATTTTCAATCAATAATATCTATATTTTATTCAAAATCTTTAAAATTCTTCAAGAATCAAAAAATCTACTAGAATCAGCTAATTTTTCATGATTTTACATGTTATACCTTTTTGCAAACTACTATAATCGATTTATTGTGGTTTGCAAAAAAAAAGTGAAATTTGCAGATAAAAAAAAAAAAAGAAATCGATGACTTCTGATTTCTAACTGCAGATTTCTTTAACATTGTTTCTGATGACATATGTATATCAACTAATATTATACTAAATAAAGACTTGCTATACATATATATAATATATATATTTATTGTACTTTGCAAAAAAATATGACCTCTGCAGATCACAAAGTTGCATGAAAATCAGTGATTCTGTAGATTTCAAGAACATTAACAATTTCAAATAAATATAAATATAATTAATCGAAAATAAGCATGATGAAAGTTGGTAGATTTACTTATTTTTCACTGTAATACAAATTATATAATTATATGTTATATTTAATTACTAATAATTATCATGGCAATTATCATATTATTCACATTAATAAAGTTAAATAAATTTTTATTTTATCTACTATAAACTTATTAGCTTATTAATTATATAATAAAAATAGAAGAATTTATAAATAATAAAGAAAATAATAAAGAAATGTTTTTAGATAATTTTTTTAGTATGTTTAATTGCTTTGCAGAAACTCTTCAGAATAATTCAATTTCTGATAATCTTCTTCTGCCTAATACTACTTTATTTGTATATAAAGGTGTTAAGCATAGCAAAATTTCTTTAGCCGCAGAATATATTATACTATTGGATACCAATTTTAAACAATGGATATATAATTTTGGTCATAATACTCATACAAGTTATGTACAAAAAAGAACTAAATATATTGTTAAAAATATTGAATTTTGATATATTTGCAAATATCATCATTTAGAAAAATATAAAAGTTAAGCAGGTTAAATTTCTGTAAAAAAAACAAGAACTAATCAAAAAAATTCAAAAAAAAATTGGTTATGAATCTACTATTATAATTACCAAGACTAAAGGAGATTGTCTTCAAATAATTATTAAATATATATCTTATTCAAATTATATTTCAGGTAGTGATAGTGATATTAGAACTTTTAGACTTTCAAAACAAATTAGAAATTATATTGTGAAATAAATGCATAATAGCTTTGATATTAAAGCAATTAGACAAATTTTTAGAAATTGAGTACATAATTTAGATAAAATTTAGAATCAATATGAATATCTAAAAGCAGTTCAAATTCATGATCATCTTGTTACTTATAATAATATATATCATATATGGAAAGAAGTAATTAGAAAAGATCGAATATTATATGAAGTTAAAGAAAAAAGTCTTAATTTATGGCAAAATAAACTTTTAAAAAGTGGTGATTTAATTTGTACAATTGCTTACTCAGAAGGTAATAATAATAATAAAGATAAAGAACAATTTCTAGATTTTATAGTTTCTATTATAAAAAAAATAGTTTATTAAATTAATATGGTCTTACTTGATACAACACATAGTACTAATAAAGAAAATAATTCACTTTATACTCTTTTTTTACCTAATATTAAGACCAGTAAAGGATTACCTCTTGCATATTTTATCTCTTCTTATAAGAATACTGTCTGTATCTATACAGTTTTAGTTGAATTATCTTCATACATAATTATCTTGAGAGGGTTTAATAACTTTTTTAGTGGATTGTAATGCTACACAAATCAAAGCTTTTCAGAATGTTTTTTCTAGAAGCAAGATTTTATTATACTAGTGGCATGTTCTTAAAGCTTGGTGAGAAAATTTAAAAAAGTATACATTGAAAAAAAAACATGGTATTAAATAATAAATTAAATACTAAAATAAAACAAAAAATGAAAAATGAGTTATGGAATGACTTGAATAACCTAAAGTATATTGAAAATCATAAACATGTTGATGAACCTCTTAATAATTTTTTAAGAAAGTAGTCAAATACAATTTTATTTATTTCATACTTTAAAAAACAATAATTAAATAAAGCAAATAATAATTATAAATTAATAAAATAAATAAAACAATGTAGATTAAAGTATATCGATTAGATATTCTTTATAATAATCTTAATACTACTAATATGCTAGAATCTTGGTATCAAAAGCTTAAATATAATATCTTTAGAGATATTCTTATTTATGAACTGTATATTAATAGAAATAATACTGCACAACAACAATGGAGATTAGCAGAAATTCATATAGGCAGGATGATGCCAACAAAAAAAGAAGTTTAACAACATAAATAAGAAGCAAAA